AAAGCAGCAAAACAAGTAAGAGGAAGGATACTTCTCTTATACAGAGTTTGCCACCTGATTCGAATAGTTCACAGCCAAAAACAATCACTATGGTTAATACTGTTCAAGGTGTAGATCTTGCAAATGTCCAACAGATACAGTTCCTCCCCTTCCACACCAATCTTCCTGTTTTGAGAGAAGAATCTGTAGCTAGGGTATAACCACATTCAGGTGTACATTATTACAACCAGTGCCCCCCCCACCCCATTTTTTTTAATACAAAAAAAATCTCTAAATGGATCAGAGCTAAGGTGATGTTCAGGGCATATATGTCCTAAGGCATATATTATTTTTAAATTCTGAATATGGTTTAGAAAATTCTCTTGAGACTGTAGTAAGAACTTAAGTCATGTTACGAATCTTGACAACTTACTGGGCTATTGTCACAGTTCATCAACAAGGCCTAGTAAGTACTAATAATTTCAGTTGAGTGGTTGAAGATTTGGATGACTCCTGATAGGTCTACTTTATCTTCATATGTAGCTCAACCCTAGTCAGAGGTCCTCCCTCCAAAACCCACCAAAACAGCCACATTTCATTGTTGTTTTCTTGCTCAATTCAAAAAAGCTGTACAAGAATTCTGGATAGGATATAGAAGAGGGATGTAAAACAGAAGTGAGAGATTGTTGTAGTATTCATGCCAATTTTTTACAGTCCTGTGATATAAACCTGGATGATGATATTACTTCCCAAGAATGAAGAGGTCACATAATGCAGTTTTGGTGATTAATTTGTATTGCTGTAAGGCATTACTAGATCTTTTGACTAATCTTGACTATAATTAATATTAACTATAAGTGCCATTTTCTGTCCGGACTGGCTTCAAAGTTAGTTTTAAACTGTAGCTATTGAAATTATAATTGTATTTCCTGCCCTGATTGGAAAATAGAATAAAGAAATGTGGAGGGGGGGGAATGTTATATCCTCTGGTGGACCACAGCAGATCCAGGTTGCATGAAACATCGTAAAAGAAATCCAGTGATTCTATATTGGCTCCTTACAACTTTAACCCAAGAAAATAGAGATAATTCCAAGAAATGTCAATATTTTTACATGTGGTAAGCTTAGAAAACTTGAAATTCCTAATTTTTCAGTGTCATGGCTAAATATATATTCTAACCTAAACCCCATACTACACATCACTGTGATTTGCAGCTTGCTTCACCAGTTTACAAAGTTGTCAGCGAGTAATGTTTTTTTTTCTGTGAAAAACTGGTAGAAAACCTGGATTTTTTTTACCAATGATGTCAATTTTCTTTTGACCCAGCTCCCACATTACCAGACTATGAAGGTATTGATGCCTCTCTCAATGAAACAGCCACAACCATAACTGTACTCCTGAGACCAGCACAAGCCAAAGGAGCTCCTATCAGGTAAAAATAGCAATTACATTAAGATCCTCATGTAATAAAAATGGAGGAAAGAAAAAAAAAACTTGGATCAGCAGCTGGCAACTTTTGAGAGCTATATGTGTGAGCATATGCACACACACTTGACAACCAAAAAGTAGAGTGGGCAAGGAGATATTATCATGACACTACGTAAATGGGATGAGATATTTTTCATGTTTTGGGATGGCTTCCATGTTTTATTTTATTTTGCTTTGCTGTCTTGGTGCACCGCCCCTATAGCTTAGAGCTTAATGCATTTTTTTTTTAATTTCCTACTGGAAATCAGTAGGAAATCATACTTCTGATTTACATGATTAGCCATATAGATTATGTAACTTATCCCTTCTTCAAAAGATCTTAATAATTCAATGAATGAATGATCTGAAGCCTCTTTGATGTGACTGTCTTGCACTTCGTTAACTGCTTTAGTGCTTATGGGATTTAAAAAGGCTTTATTCCAATACAGTAGGCCTTACTTCAGCATAAACAGGTAAAATATTGAATTGCATGAGACTATATAATGTAGATATACTTTTGCCATGCATTAATATTTAGCTTAGATGCCAGGGGTGTTCAAAAAAAGTCAAGAATGAGCTGCAAAATTGCCTACCCATAGTGAGATAGGTGTGAACAGGAACATTAATCATATGTCGAGTACATTCACATACACAAAGAAGTGTGCCTTCCTTTAACAGTAAAAAAAAACTGTGTGGAAGAAGGTGCAAGATCTTCCCCTGATTCCGCCTTACTTATTCAAAACATCCAGACTGTTTTCCTTCTTCTTTGTTCAAGGTGAGATGAAAACAGAGAAATGATAGAACCAAGAGAATGACTAGGTATGATAATATGTGAGGGGAGAATTTAGAGCACTTCTCCTGTGCACCCCTTTTGTCACATGAGGTGACAAAAAAATGTGAAAAGATGTTGATTGCCATGGTTGTCTCTATTGATTTCCTGATGTGCCATAGTTCTAGGATCCATAATGGAGGCAAAGCCTTCTCAGATGATATTCTAAAAACAGGCTCATGATGCCCATGCTATTTCTATTCTTGATTTAAATAGAAATTGTGCATTTTAGATGTCAGCCTGCCCTGTACAACTGTTCCCTTTTCTTTCCTGCCTGCTCCGTGCACATGGCCCTTGAAGCAGATGTTTGCTAATCCAATTCAAAATTGCAGGTGCTGTCAATCATTTCTTAAGATGCAACATGCTGCGGTAGTCACAGTTCTAATCATGACAGAATCGTGTCTTTCCTGCCAAGTATTATATCATAATCTGTAGTTTTTTATGGCCTCCTGAAGCTGTAAGCCAAACAGCAGATCTGAAATACAAAGGGAGACTGGATGAATCAGTGTTTGTTATAAAATATGAAGCTTTTTTACCAAGCTGGAGATCCTCAGCTCAGCCAGTAAAGAATAAATATTTATTCAAAAATGAGATATGTGTGCATATGCAGAGACACAGACATGCAGACACGAATGATTTATTTATCATTAGCAACACATACTAGTTGAACCTTTCTGCTAAGCAGTGTCTTCAGATTTATAAATAAATGTGTCAAGAAATTGCTAATGAAACATGGATATTCTGTTGTTCCATGCTCAGGATCAAATTTACCATCTCCTCTGATATTTTCTAAATTAACATAAAAACATAAAAACAGTTCTGTTGGATCAGGACAAGGCCCAGTTTAGTCCAGCACTTTGTTTCTCACTGTCAGAGTCTGCACACTCAAACCCAAGTTCAGTAAACCCTCTGGAGTCTATTTGGTTTCATCAAGGATTTCTTTATTGAGAAGCAGCATACAGCACACTAAAGTTTGTTAAGTCTGATTTTCCCTAGTGTAAAGCTTTCCTTTTAACCCCCTTTCCCCCCCTCTTCTCTACTGTTCCCGCTTGAATTTCTTCACGCCTGTTCCTGGGTCTCACGGCCGTTTGATCTTGTTGGCGCCTCCAACCAAGATAGCGGTTGCACCTGGCTCGTTGTTTTATTTCCCCCCTCCTCCTGACATTTATGGCAGGAACCAGCAAGCGGTTATACAAATCATAGTCTTATCTTTAACTAACATTTAATCCTTGTTGTGTTGTTGTTTAGTCGTCAAGTCGTGTCCGACTCTTCGTGACCCCATGAACCGTATTGCGCCAGGCCTTCCTGTCCTTC